CACCATTTGTTACAAGGTCTTTACATAAGTTCACGAAGATCGTGTGTACTAGCCTGATAGCATTGATCTTTCCCGAAAATATCCGAACCAATTTACAGATTGGTCAATTGGGATAATGAGTAAACACCACCAGAAAATACAAATTATAACGCTCTAATGTTTTATGCCACTTCTGATGATGCCACTGCTTCCAATGCTGCTGCTCCTTCTGTTACCGATACTGCTGATGATGATGCTACTGCTTCCAATGCTGCTGCTTCTGTTACCGATACTGCTGATGATGATGCTACTGCTTCCAATGCTGCTGCTCCTTCTGTTACCGATACTGCTGATGATGATGCTACTGCTTCCAATGCTGCTGCTCCTTCTGTTACCTATACTGCTGATGATGCTACTGCTTCCAATGCTGCTGCTCCTTCTGTTACCGATACTGCTGATGATGCTACTGCTTCCAATGCTGCTGCTCCTTCTGTTACCGATACTGCTGATGATGATGCTACTGCTTCCAATGCTGCTGCTTCTGTTACCGATACTGCTGATGATGCTACTGCTTCCAATGCTGCTGCTCCTTCTGTTACCGATACTTCTGATGATGCTACTGCTTCCAATGGTGCTGCTGCTTCTGTTACCGATACTGCTGATGATGCCACTGCTTCAAATGGTGCTGCTGCTTCTGTTACCGATACTGCTGATGATGCTACTGCTTCCAATGGTGCTGCTGCTTCTGTTACCGATACTGCTGATGATGCTACTGCTTCCAATGGTGCTGCTGCTTCTGTTACCGATACTGCTGATGATGCTACTGCTTCCAATGCTGCTGCTGCTTCTGTTACCGATACTGCTGATGATGCTACTGCTTCCAATGGTGCTGCTGCTTCTGTTACCGATACTGCTGATGATGCCACTGCTTCCAATGGTGCTGCTGCTTCTGTTACCGATACTGCTGATGATGCTACTGCTTCCAATGGTGCTGCTGCTTCTGTTACCGATACTGCTGATGATGCCACTGCTTCAAATGTTTTTTTCCTGCTTTTACAGATTTTGATGGTCTTGATACTGATGATGTTGTTGCGCGTGATAATGAAGGTACTGTTGCTGGTGATACTGATTGTACTGTTGCTGCTTCTGGTGCTTTTGCTTCTGTTGCTGATACTACTGTTGCTGATGCTACTGTTGCAGATACTATTGTTGCTGATACTATTGCTTTTGATGGTGCTAATACTGATGATATTTACTGATACTTCTGATACGGCTGGTTTTGCTGCTGATACCGCTGGTGCTGTTGCTGCTGATACTGCAGCTACTGATGGAAATGTGGATGTTGCTGCTTCTGATGTTGCCGCTGCTACTGATACTTCTGTTTCCAATGATGATGATTCGGATTGTACCGTTGAAGCTGGTGCTGCTGCTGGCACTGGGATGATAATACTGATCACAACAAAGACGAAAGATAAAATTCAAGTTTACCTGATGGTTTTCCACTGATCATATCCATCCAGTTTGGTTCCATTGAAAGATCCACCAGCTAGATTGAGAAATGTTGGAAACCAGTCAGAAACGTGGATCAGTTCTTTTCTAACTACACCTTTTTGTTTCAGTAATGGACTGTTGACAAATCCAACTCCATGAAGACCACCTTCCCATAACGAGGCTTTCCATCCTCTCAATGGCCAATTGTTACCACCAGCATGTATCTGGCCACCATTATCTAAAATCATATCATTGATTAAAGCGTCGAATTGCTTACAGCTATAGAGGTAATATGTTACTTTTGATAAGACTTTTTATATACAGCTTGGCCGAGCTATGATGATCAAGCTAAAGACAAATCAAAAATAACATTTACTGTATCCTGCGGTAGAAAGATCCTTAGATGCTAATCTACTAAATTCCAAGGCACTATGAAGAACCTAATTGCATTCTTCAGCAACGATATACGGATACAGAACTATGCACCTCCAGCGAGATATCTAAC